ACGAGCAAGTGGCTACTTGAATCCGCCAAAATGGCGAAGCGATCGCGGCCCATAGACATTCGCACTAGCGGATGCGCTGCCTACCCTTAATCGAGGTGGGAGGAGATGCACATAAAGATGTTTTCCTTTCCTATGCGTCTCATCCGCCGACAAATCCACGTTCCCTTCCTAACCTTATAAGAATATTATAAGAAAAGGGTGGGAAGGAAAAGGTACTAAAGTTGGGCCTCCGGCACTACACTCGTTAGACGAAACGCGGAATTCCTCCTACTTCCCACCTGTCTTCGTTGTGGTCGTGGTATTACACCAGGCGAGCCGGCCCATTCCTGTGAAGATGTTAAAGCGGGCTCTACCACTGTTAAAGTTATTTACCAGCAAAAAAAACTCGAGAGAAAATCAGGTTTAAAGGTTTTAGTTGAGTTTTAGGCAGCTTTACTTTTTTATATTAAAAGCGGCAAATGATCGACGGAATTATCTGGAAGAACACATAGAGCACTTAACAAGTTTTTTTTTATATAGACAAATTGGCGCACGGACTAAGTCGCGGGCGCCAACTAGTCTATATAAAAGTGTCAGTAATGAAATAATAAAAATCTATGGTGTATTACAGACTTCTTCCCCTTCATACAAATCTCATTATGTCTACCAATATAATTAGAATGAGTTAATAATTTCTCGTTTTTCTCTTATTTAAATAACCTCTTAAATATATATGAATATCTTACAGACTTAATAACCATCATTACACGACCAGTAATAATGTACTAGGAACATAACAACTTTACTAGCATCGATATCACTTATGTACCATTTAAATCATTAAAATTATTGTTTAAGTACTCAATTAAACATGTTTGCTACAGCGACTGTATTATTTTATCTTAACTGCGAGCGTTATTATGTCTTAATGCGACTATGACTGTCCCTTGTTCGTAACAAGTTACTAACTTTATGTCGCAGAAAGTCAGAAAATTTTTCACTTTAACAATGTTTATTTCTTTGTTCGTTCGACCGCGTTCTCGACGTGACTCGACTTTATAACGACCCACTCCACATATATAGACAAGAGTCTTTTATTTTCATTATTTTCATGCAACACTTCCGGAATTACTTTAGACGGACATCATGAAAACTTAGTTGTATTTAAATATAAATTTCGTCTTGAACATCACGCATTGAAAATATCTGCTAGTGTTTTTGGACAAATAATTGGAATTATCAATCAGTGTAGATTTTATTTACTAAGGCAGTGCTACGCTTTTAGCAGTTACTTTCATAACCATTTAAATTTTAATAAACCATTAAACTAACATATTCCAAAACCTTATAACTTATACCCCACTTTTATCCAGGCAGTAATACCCGAGCAATCTATACTATCTATACTATTATAATAAAGCGTAAACACACACTTCTTTGTTGCCTAAGATGTCAGCAATTACAATATGTTTTTGATTATTTCTTTTTTAATAAAAAGCCCTACACTTACGTCACGCTTTACGTTATATATTTTCACAACATTAAATTTAGGGTTAAATATTTTGGCTAAAAAGCCTAATGTGGAAAAGATACCATAAGTTGCTGCCAACATCAAGGAAGCAAGGTTGTCATCATGTCCTGTCATTTTGACATTTGTAATTGATAATTTGACAAATGTAAACAATAAAATAACATTTTTCATAATTTCATGAAGTCGCACGGGAACAGCTAGTCTTACTTATATTATAAATGCGAAAGTTTAGATGAATGGATGTTTGTTAGAGTTTGTAGCTTAAACGGCTGAACGGATTTCGATGAAATTTGGTATGGATGTAGAGGAAAAACACATAGGCTACTCATTTTTTTTTAATTTCCACGCGGACGGAGTCGCGGGCGAAAGCTAGTTTATAATAAAATGTATTGTAATATAAAACTTTAAAAAAACAAAGGTAAATTAAAATATAAAATCTCATTTAGCTTAATACAACGTCAACATGCAAGTACTTAGTTGCACTAAAACGCAGAGAAGGATACAGTAGAACCACTGAATAGGACAAAAAAGGGAAAGATATTTCACTGAATTCGAAATTAAAAATCAAAATGGTGGATCAATTTTCCATGTGAAAAACCACAGTACAAGCGGTAAATTGCTCTGCAATTTTTTAAACTTCACTACAAATGCTGTTACATACGTCCTTTTTCATTATGGACCGGTAAATATGTAACGAATATTCGATGTCTTTTTAATGTGTACCCCCGCCCTTAGCCTTATAATTAGTCCAGAAGCAACAT